GAATGCAGAGACTCCAGGTTTTTTTTTTATAAATTTCAAATTTGATTTTTTATTATTTATGAATATTTCTGTCGTTGATGCGTCAATTTGACATACAATGTGTGTAAATTGTATTTAATATGTATGAATTACGTAGTATCATGTTCGATTTGAAGCGGATAGTGATGAGTTACTGTTGATTGTAGGTGGAGGAAGAAATGCTTATGCACAAGTATTACGAGTTCATGGAAGCACAAGGTTTAATTAAAAAGGTATTGTTATTGCATCTCTACTTTGATTTATCCATATCTGAATGTTCGTTATAATCTTTTGAGACGGTTTACAATGCGTGTCCGTTTTTTTTGTTAAGGGTGTATTGTTGTAAATACCATGGAGTCAAAAAGTTGTTTTGTTTCTTGATTTTTTGCGCAATTTTCTTTTTATTTTTCTGTTCGGCCTGCAGTTTCTTGAGAGTTGTGTATCTGCTTATCGGTTTTGGTTTAATTTGTTGTGCTGGCGCTCATTCAAATTAGTTATTTAATTGATGGACACCGTTGAAATTTTCAAGAATCTAAATCGCAATATCATTTGAGTTGTGTACTAAAAATAACACGAGTATCCCATTTTCTTTATGTGAGTTTTGGCTTCTACGGAGGTAGAAAGATACAAAGATAAGACTTGACATAGACATGTCCCTAAAACTGTGGATTCTGTGAGGTGAAGTTCTTGAAAATTTTACTCGGAAAAAGACTAGAGTGTAGTGGTTCTCTATAGTATGTTCGTCCATTGCGTTTTCTCTTCTTATACGATCAATCCGCTTCCCCTAAACATTCATTAAAATTTTGGTACTTAATGAAATCGTAACCTGTTTGTGTAAACGAAGTAGCTTTAATGAAATTTTGGTATAGTTTAATTTGATGTTGCGTAATTTATTTTAGTTTCGACGTAAAGAAAAAAAGTATGACGAGGGACGTACCAAATTGATGTTTCTTGTTTGCGCTCTTTTGCAGAAACAAAGTAATAACTTGAAAACAGAGGAAGAAACTGGTAAAGCTGGAGAGGTGGACTAGCCATAAGGAAGTCAGCTGGTTCTGTAATTTGCTGTTCATATTCTACATGCTCGGCTCCATACTTTCACAGTTGTATTAATCGATGTTAGATTATATGGAATATTCTCTAATTTTACTCGTTTTACCCCATTCGAGCTTCACATTTGAAACAAGATAGATTGTGGTGTATCAGAAACTGCGCTTGTAAATATCAGATTGTGGTGTATCAGAAACTGTATTTTTACACAAAACGAGTGCAAACTAAAGGATATTTTATGGAATCTAGAAAATCATGTTGAATTTGACACCATAACGGTGTACGTGTTAGAAGATTTATAGTCGATGGGTGGTCGTAAATACCCAAATATGATGGATTTTTTTTTCGTAATTTGGTTTTCCCCTTAAGGGCGTGGCCGTAATTTACCCTATTTTATATTCTTTGAACTGATGATAAAAGAAATATCCAACCGGAAAATCATCGATTTGCCGACCTCATAATATTTTCAAAACATTTTGTAAGATTTTTGAGAGCTTATAAATTTTCAAAAACTATTTACTGTTACCAGGAATAGAAGTTTTAAGATCTCACAACTAATAAGCTGACGTTATTGGAATTTTATCCATAATATACTCTTAAATAATCTTCAACAAATGTTATAATATTTGTTTTTTTAGGGTAAATTTCACTTTCCTCCCATGTAGTTTGGCTCGATATCACTTTACTCCATTCTACTTTCGATTGCATCGATTTGCCCATGTACTTGAAAAATTGTCTCAATGTAGTCATCGCCGTTAGTTTCTAGACTTTTGATAAACACCGTTTGATCTAAATCTGAAAATTACAAAAAAACCACCTCTAGTTTAAATAATTATTAAAAAATAAAAAATAAATTGTGGCTGGTGTGGTGGACTATATTTTCTCGTTATCTTTAATTTTTTTATTGTTTTTTAAATAATTATTTAAACTGAGAGAGGTGGCGGTTTTGTAATTTCAAAACTTATATCAAATGGTGTTAATGTCAAATGTCAGACAACTAGCAGCGATGGCCACATTGAGACAATTTTTCAAGTACAGGGGGCAAATCGATGCAATCGAGAGTAGAAGGGGATTAACGGATACCAAACCAAAGTATAATGGGGGAAAGTGATTTTTTTTTTTTTTTAATATAAACATTGAAAGAGTTTAATGATGTTTTTATTCATATACTTTGATGATTTTTGAATAATTAGGATCTAATTTCTTATAAACTTCAAATATAATTTATTTCTAAAATATGAAAGTTCATACATTTTGTAAACCAAACACCCTAATCCAACTTTAGGAACAATGCGAATCTCACCATCAAGCAACACTAGAACTGAAAATCGGATTGATTAGATCCAAAAAAAAAAACAAAAAAAAAAAAAAAAACAAAAAATGGATGGTTTATTTTATTTCTGAAAAAAAATCAGAAAAGAAATCGTAAATTTTCGTTTTGAAGAAATTAGTATTTATCTAGTCCAATCATATGCTAAAAAATTATGCAAGTTTTTTTTATTTATCATCATGCCAAACGGAGCCTAAATCAGAATTATTATTAGGGTAAATTACAAACACCCCCTGAGGTATGGTCAAATTACAAAAATCCCCCTCTTGTTTGCATAATTACATCTACCCCCTCAGCTATGATTTTTTCGTACACATCCACCCTTATGGTGCCAAATTTCGAATGGGATAAAACGGGTAAAAAAGTGATAATATTCCATATAATCTCGAAGATTCCACTAAATTTGAGGAGTTGAGGGGTGGTTGTAATTATCCAAACAAGAGGGGTATTTTTGTAATTTGACCATACCTCAGGGGGTGTTTGTAATTTACCCTTATTATTATTTTTTTCGTTTCCCCCCTACTAAATTTCACCCCTGCCCTTAATTAATATTTATTAAAAAAGTATATATATATAAAAAAAAGAAAAAAAGAAAAAAAAAAAAAAAAAGGTGTACGCTACGCTGTTTGTATTTCACCTCCTATTCCAAAAAAATTACATGGTTCAAATCCTTTCCGATTTGTGTAAATAACTAAATACTGTGAGAAATAATTTGAACAATTGTAGAATTGAAGGAGGAAGCAGCGTTCGATGGGTCGACCGCCGAGCAACGGCGGTCCCGCTTTCCGGTTTAACGCCGTCGAGGTTTACTCTCAAAACCCTTCCTTTTGTTTTCTCTCTCCGAATAATCAATCACACCCGTACACTACTTACCTATGGAGTTGTCTTTGTTTCTCTCGAGCTACTATTTTCACATGAACTCAATTTATTTATTTTAATTTCATTGATTTTCTGTTCGTTTCTGGTAAAATTTTCAACACCAAATGGTGCACCTTTTTTTTTTTTTTTTTTTTTTTTTTTTTTGTGGAAGCCTTCTTCCCCAATTTCATGACTGGGAACGGATGGTTTGTGGAATTTAATTATTTGTTCTTTCTGCAAGTAATTTTTATTTTATTTACTTGTGGAATATTTTATATTTTAATTTTTGGTTATTTCTTTTCCAATTTGGTAGTCTGAGCATCTCTTTATGCTAGAACGATTTTTTCCCCAATATTTGAAGTACATTTGGGGTATTGATCCACCTCTGTTGAATTGGATAATGTTTTCTTCAGAATAGAAGTTATCCGATTCTTTGCGCAAGCTTCAAACAACATAGGATAACTTATCTCTTTATATCCGATAATAGTTCAAACTAATTATGATTTCGACTGTGTAGAAAGCTTACTCTCTGCGACGAGATTTCGACGTTGCCTTTTGCTTCAAATAGTTGAAAGATTCTTGTAAGAAAAACTTGGACTTGCGAGTTTTTATATATTTTTTTTCCTTGTCTCTTAAAGGTAGGGGAAATGGAGGCTATCTTGCAAGCCCACAATTACGCTGTACCTGTACGTGAAATACTCGAGGCCCTCGCTCAGAGATTTAGGTAAGCAATTGGTTTACAGCTGCAAAATTGGTTTGCAAGCCCACAATTACCTCTAATACTTTGAGTTTCCTGTTAATACAGCGCTGCAGCTGACAGAGCAGGAAAGGTGGAAGTTTCGTCAAAACAAGTAAAACCCGATTCTCCCTTGTAAGCAATGCTTTCAATAATCTACCAACAGCCATTAATGGTTTTTCAATAATCATATGAAACAGGTATGGAACTGGTTTCAGAATCGGCGATATGCTCTCAGAGCAAGAGGGACGAGGACACCTGTCCCAGGTGAGATGAATGTAATTCCTACACTGCCACGAGAAGATCAACCGACAGCTGTCAGAAATGTGCCTCAGCCTCCGCCACCTCAGCTTGCTCCCTCAAGTAATATCAAATTAATCTCTGTGTTAAAAAAAAAAATTGAAGTGAGCTTTGTTAAGTAATTGGTTGCTTATTCTTGTCCTTGCATATGGTTCTGATTTGTAGCATATTCTCACCCAGCGGCGGTGAAAAGTGTGGCTCAAGTCCCTCATCCTCTTCCCGTTCCATCTGGTAAAGCTGTTAAACTTTTAAATAGCTTTCCTCGTTTTTATTATTTGATCAATCATTATGAGTACATATTATCTTTGTACATAATTAGCATACTGTATTGCGTCCGAGCTTCGTGGAGTATGCACCTAAAAAAGATAGCTTTATTCCTTCATTTAGAAATTGCATCAAGGTTGACCAAAAAGAGCTAATCCTTTTTGTTCTTGAACTTCTTTCTCCTGAACTCATTAAAGTTTTTGCTATACTCCAAACCCAAATACGAACAGGTCGTGGACACCAAATGCATGGGGCATAACTCAAATTTGTCGCAGATATTATGCGACAGATTATATTCATTTTCGTTTATGATGAAATTAGTTTAATAAAAGCTACTTATCTCTAGCATTAAAAGCTACTAAGGTAGCCCAACTTAAGTGGATACTGGCTTTGCAAGTTACAGTGAAATATTGCATAGTTATTTAGTTCGTTTTGTATGCCTTTCTTTCTTCCTACATTTTTCTTTCTGCACCACCGTTATGATATTATTACTGGGTTTTGATTTTTCTTTTATATCAGTTCAAAGTGCAGTAAGGAATGCTTCGGATAGTTCTCAGATGGAGTTTGAGGCTAAATCTGCTAGAGACGGTGCATGGTTTGTCTTTTCAAATATATCTTCAATCTTCATTTCCGTATAAGAGATGATTAATTGGGCCCTACCCCTATTGATGAAATTTGCAGCAATATTGAATAGGTGTGTTTTATTTTATTTTTCAGGTATGATGTTACTTCGTTCCTGTCACACAGATCATTAGACACTGGTGATCCGGTATATCTTGATACTTTTATAAATACACACGCGTATATGTATGTATATATGTATGTTTGACCAAGTAAAGCTATGGATCTCAGGAAGCTCTGGTTCGTTTTGCCGGTTTTGGACCAGAAGAGGACGAATGGGTCAATATTCGCAAACACGTGAGGCAAAGATCACTCCCATGTGAATCTTCAGAATGTGTAGCAGTTCTACCTACAGATTTGATCCTATGCTTTCAGGTGCATTTCCTTAAAAAAAAAAAAAAGAAATTGCACGAAAAGTTACTTTCGTTAGGTCTTTGAGACAATTTCTCCAATATCCTTTTTTTCCTTTCTTATCCAGGAAGGCAAAGAGCAAGCCCTATATTTCGATGCACATGTTCTTGATGCACAAAGGCGTAGGCACGATGTAAGAGGCTGTCGTTGTAGGTTTCTTGTCCGGTACGATCATGATCAATCCGAGGTATACAGAAAAAAAAATATTATTTTTTCCTTTTTCATTTTTTTTTTCTTTGAAGATTTTAAATAGAGGAGTTTCTTGATGTGATTGTAGGAAATAGTCCCGTTGAGGAAGATTTGCCGTAGGCCCGAAACGGATTACAGGTTGCAGCAACTTCATGCGGGGTCAACGAATGCGATCCCACAGAAGATTGGAGTGGAATCTCAAGGTGGGAATACGTTGAAAGTTAATTCTACCGCAGGAGATTCTTCACCACTAGTAAAACAGCAGCAGATAAAGCCAGAGGAAGCAATGACGAATAATGCTGCCGCTCCTGCTAATATTCCGAATTCGGGCGAATCTAAATTAATACCTTCGATAATTAACTCCGAAATGTTGCTGAGCTAGCGAGTTTTCGAATTGGTTACGTTAACTTTTGGAAGAACTTATGTTTTTTTTTTTTTTTCTTTTTCCCTTTGATTTGGTAGAATAGAAATAGGGGGATGTATTGGATGAAGTTTTGTTCTATGATTAATGTGATATATTTTAGGTCTGGATCAATCTATAATATAAATATTTTAATAATAATAATAATATAAAATTACAAATATTATAAATCTAATCTTTGTAGGAAAAAAATGGAATTTTTGGAGTTATAAAACTTGATGAAGAAAAATGTAAGAGAATAATAAAATTATAAAAAGTAAACTGAAGTTGATGAAAATATAAATAGCATTCTGAAGCTCAAAAGATGTCCACGAGGCCAAAAACCCTTGATGCGGGGCAGCAAACAGGAACACGTGGTTTTCTCCTCTAAAAATGAACTGTGAATCAAAATTGAACTAAAACAGTTTCTTCATTGCAGAAAAATTCCTTCCAATGAAGCTCAATTAGTGATAATTGAGTACCTCTCCGTTTCTGTTTCCAAGCATGCGGTGGCTATTGCGGAGGAGCAGCCGAAAGGCGGTGGCCGGATTCGGATCACGCGGTTCGTTTTCTTTATTCGAAGTAGGGTTTAGTGAGGTACGGAGGAGTGTGGCGACGAGCTGTAGGGCGGTGCTTCTGCCGCGGTTCGGCGGACCGGAGGTGCTGGAGCTCCGAGACAATGTCAGTGTCCCCGATCTCAAGCCTAATGAGGTCCTTGTCCGCGCTCGCGCCGTCTCCATCAATCCGCTCGACTGCAGGGTCAGTTTTTTTTCTGGTTGTTTGGCTGTTTCAATCTGAATTTCGAATTACGTGCCGGATTAATTTTTTTATTACTCCGATTGAAAATGTATTGGTGTTTCTTATTTATTTAGGGTGTCTATCGGTTATGAATATGAGATTTTGATTCTGTGATTTTCTACGAAATGAGTTGGGCGTGGCTACTCCGTTTGTATTTAAGTTTTCAACTTGGTCTTTATGTATCATGAACGAAATCAGTTGAATGTCTGAGTTAGAATTGATAAAGTAAATTGAATTGTTCTGCCATCAAGCTTATATAGGTGAATTTAATTCCTTAGCTGCAGGATATCGCGAGGGAAGTTGTGTGAAGTTTTAGGCACTGGGGACTTGTGCTTTTAATTGGGAACTATTGTTAGTTTTGAGTATCATTGAAAGATAAATAAATCTGGTTTTCGTATCTAGTTAGAGCTTTGTAATAAAATAACTTACTCTTATAAAAAGATTTCCCTGATTAGAGGTAGTATCATCTTCCTCTAAGATATTATGTTCTATCTCATAAGATATTTAAGCAGGCTTCAAGTTTTGTGATGAATAATGGTCTAGTATGAGATATCATATAAGTGGTCAACATTCTTATGAAAAGTGTAAATAATAAATTCAGTTTATGTAGACTACAACATAAGAATGAACTATGTATGATAGGCATCATCTGTTTGTTTTGTACAAGGTGGTTCACTTCTCACTATTTTGACAAATGGAGGTGTTCAAACTAGTGCTCTTATCTAAATTTTATTTTTTTGTAGAAACAGTTGTGCTGTTTCGTAATAATAGAGAAATAAAATTTAGTAAAGACACGTAGATTGTGATGAAACTGATTCTAAACATTATATATATATTTTTAACTTCGTAGGTTTGCTTTGTTTTCTCTTGGATTATGTTGGTATTGTTTTTCATGTTTTGTTTAGAAGTCATTTTTTGTTTGATTACTTTTTGAAATCTGATAGAAATGGAATTTGTAATATATCACGTATTTTGTTGTAAAACTGTTGAGTTGAGTAGGATTCCTGATCTAAAAGAGGAGCCTGTAAATTTATCACTCCAATATACAACATGTTTATACTTGCAAATACCGTACGAGGCCATTTAATCAAATTGTTATAGTTCTTAATTATGAAGATAATATTTCTAGCCCATAATTCAGATGAAATTGGTATGGGTGTTAAGGGGGTCTCACTTTCTGTTACTCTGAGTTTGACTTGAATAATCATTTTTCACGTGAAGTCCGTTTTATCCCATCTGCTATTCTGATTTTATTAATGCATATACATTGCATCCTCCTGTCTTTTCCGTTGTACTAAACTCAATATTTTTCAGATGCGCCAAGGCTATGGCCGTTCTCTATTCAAACCACTCTTACCATTGATATTAGGCCGTGATATTAGTGGTGAAGTTGCATCTGTTGGAAGTTCTGTGCACTCACTTGGTGTCGGTCAGGAAGTGTTTGGTGCTCTCCATCCTACTGCAGTGAGGGGTACTTATGTTGACTATGCCATTCTGGCAGAAGATGAACTTGTCTCAAAGCCAGAGTCAATTTCACATGTGGTAGGTGTTGTAGTAGAGTTCAGTTGCTTATGAAACTTTCAACATTTTCTCTATTGCTCTTGTAAAGATTCTTCTCTTTCTTTGTATTGCTGTCTTCGTTCCTTTTGTGTATCCAGGATGACCATTAAGTCAATCTTGCATTACTCTTCAAGTAGATACTTCTATAATAGAGTATATATTTCTGTAATCGACAGGAAGCAAGTGCCATTCCTTTTGCTGCCTTGACTGCTTGGCGTGCACTGAGAAGTACAGCTAATATAAAACCGGGGTATGTTGTAATAATTAATATCGATAAAATTTAGAGTACTCTTTGTGAATTATCTGACAAAAGTGGGAAGAGTGCTCTTGCATAGACGGCTAGTCCGAGTATATGTTTTATCTATACTGCATTGACTAATTCAGCCAATGTACTTATTCTTTAAACAGCTCAGCTTGATCCTCAAATTTAGTAACATATTAGGAAATACCAAAAGAGCAGTTTAGAGATCATCACAATGAATTATTGCCTTGTTCTAAATTAACATGTCAAAGAGTGGCATTGTATTGATACTAGGAAATGAACACTTGAAGAATTGAACTATTTGTTTGCTTCTATGTTTAGTTTAATGGGGTGGGGGGTAATTCTACAATGAGAAGTAAAAGCTGCATTGTGTACGCGTGGCCGTTATTCCTTGAGCCGAACACAATCACTGATTTCTTATAGAAATTGGTTTAATCTTGGAAGTTGGGTTTTGATAAACGATGCAATTATTTATTTTACTGTAAGTTTTTAGTTTATTTTTAATCTTATGAAGTATCTTAAAAACAAGATAAAGGCTACTTGAACTCAGTTTGTGATTTCGAAAAGTGTGACACGGTTCTCCTTGAGTGTAATGGTTGATAGCAAACTTAACATGACACTCTAAGCAATTACACATATTCATTTGTTAGTGCCTTTCCGATTTTGCTAACTTGATTATACTTTTGATGTAGACAAAGGGTATTAGTGTTGGGTGGAGGAGGAGCTGTAGGCTTTTCCGCAATTCAGCTTGCTGTGGCTGTTGGATGCCATGTCTCTACCACATGTGGAGGCGAAAGTGTAGGTCGTATGTTGGCAGCTGGTGCAGAGCAGGCTGTTGACTACACGACTGAGGTTGTGATGGACTACATCTTGTGTAGTGTAGTTATTGTTTTGATTCTTCCATTTGAATTGCTGCTTAGCTACTTGCATTCAATAGTTTTGCTTATGTTTAGTTTTTAATTATCATGTGCATCAAATTTGCAGGATTGTGAGGTGTCCATTAAGGGGTATTTTGATGCTGTATTGGACACAATTGGGGTACCTGAGACTGAAAGGATTGGTGTCAATCTTTTGAAGAGAGGTGGCCATTACATGACATTGCAGGTATGCGGGAATCAACCTCATCTTCTCCAAACAAATGGCCATCCAATATATATATATATATGTGTGTGTGTGTGTGTGTGTGTGTGTGTGTGTGTGTGTGTGTGTGTGTGTGTGTGTGTGTGTGTGTATTATTACTTTATTTTATTTTTTGATGAATAGCGTTTGACTTTTTTTCTGCTAGGGAGAGGCTGCATCCTTGACTGATAAGTATGGAATGGTGGTTGGCCTTCCAATGTCAACAGCAATTTTATTACAGAAGCAAATGCAATATCGATACTCTCATGGAATAGGTGCGTTATCGTCATCACCTATTTGTCTTTTTTTTTAGGGATATAAAGTAAACTCTTCCTTAGATCTTCCTTTCAGTTCGTTTGGTGCCATGCCCAATATGTACTCAATGTATAGTACTCTACTTTTAAGGATTCAACATCCTAAAAGCTCTATCGATGCTGCGATTCTACTAATGGATAATTTTAGTATTCATGAGATCATGTGCTATAATATATCAATTTTACTTCCCAAATTTTCAATGTTGTCAATGTATTAATTTTCCGTCCTACTAACTAGTGATGATTGCATGGTACAGAATATAACTGGACGTACATGAGGGCTGATGGGGAAGGTTTAGAAGAAATTCGTCGGCTAATTGAGGCTGGAAAGCTGAAAGTACCTGTGGAGAAGACGTTTCCGATTACACAAGTGAGAGAGGCTCATGAAGCCAAAGATGAGAGGCTTATTTTCGGCAAAGTTGTTCTAGAACTCGATTAGCTCAGACCTACTATATAATATATACATACAGATGAAGTCAGCAAACTTGATATTTCCTTGTGTAAAGTGAGGCATAAATGTGTACGTGGGAGTTATGGCAGTCCAGTTCCTCAGACCGACCCTTAATAAACGGCGAAGCATCAGTTGTTGGAATTTGTACTCGTTGTGGCACTCTGTACATTCTGATAGCAAATTGAATTTTGTTAGTTTTAGTTATATGTGAGAAAAAAATATAGATTATTGCACTTGGTAAACACATTTCGAAAACTGATACGTTAAATGTCGTTTCAATTTTCTTAGTACCGTTCCGACTTTAAATGTGATTTTGACAAATTTTCAGTTTAAATTCGACAAAAGTTAAAATACAAAATTTGTAGTTCTTTGAATTGGTTTTCTAGTACAACTTTAATCGGCTGGTTGAATGTCGGGTAGCCAGATTTGAATTGTAACTTACATGTATAACTCTTTCACTGAGATCCAATCTAACTGATTCAAATTGAATTAGAAAAGTCAAATTTTGTGTTTTTGACTAAACTGAAGATAGTCAAAATCATATTTAGAATCAGAATGTGCAAGTAAAATTAAAATGACATTTAACACTAACAATTCTTTCCAAATGCAAAAAACAAAGTAAATATAAACTATCTCGGGTAGTTAGATGCTACACTCGATTATTTACTATGGATGGATTTAAAACATAGATTTGATTAAATAACTATCCATTAATTACACATATATATAGGTGCATGTGTTTGTGATTATGTGTTACGACTCAAATCCAGTCAGCGTAAATAAGCAGGCGTAACATCTAATTTTCCAACTATCTCCCTCTCTAAATAAATAGGTCCCTTTCACACTTAATGTGGCCTTATCCGTATAGCCCTTTCCTCTGGTGGGCTCAAAGCCCAGTTCCATCAATTCTCAAACCTAATCCCAATAGTTAATGAGTGGGCCCCACCTAATCACTTTCCCAATCACAAAACATGAAGAATCTGTCAAAAAACCTTTTTCCCTTTCTTCCAATCAGATTCTCTCACCTTAACAACAATGAAAAAGAGTACCTTTTACTTTTTTGTCCTTGATTGGAATTTTTTGCTTTTGCCCAACCAACAACACACCATATGGCTTTTTTGTCCTCTTGTGGTCAAACCCCCTTGCCTTATCTCCAAGTTAATCTCCTTTGACCGCTCATTTATTAACCGGTCATTTTGCTTTATCTGCTTTATTATTACCTTCATTTAATTAACATTATTTAAAAGCTTTCTTAATCCTCCGGTCATTTTTGTACTTTTGTTCACCCGTGGCTGTCTGAGATGCGCGTGGGAGGAGACCAACTCTCGGGGCCTAGCGCGTGCATCTTTTCTAGGCAGTGAAAGCTATATGGCTTTGTGGGTGTTGCACACGAACGGTTAGGAGCGTGAGTGGGAGTATGCATGTGTACGAATAACTAAGACCCTTATCACGTGCGTTCTTGGTTTCTTGTGTTTCACCTCGTCCCTATCGACCTGACCACATGTGATTCATCATATCCCGATATTACCCCTGTTTTCTTAACAATATATCATAAACGCCACTGCTTTGTCGTTTTCTGACTTTTTGAAATTTGACTACCCTTCCTTCAAAGTAATGTAAATTCTGAAGCAGAAGCTTAATAAATTCGAATGTTTCCTCTTAAAAAAAATAATAATAAAAAGAAAAAGAATAGTTGCCGGATAAAAATGGATTTAAGGAAGTTGAGAGAAAATCTTTAATACAAAATTTCCATTTTTATTCTAATTTTGTATTGTATTCATATTTGCAAGATGTATTTCATGAAATATTATATATTATCATCTATTCATTATTATAACCCAATTTATTAAATTTAAACCAAAAAATTACAATCACCCACCTGAGATAAAATTTATTTTATCAAAAACCCTCTATATTTAAAGAATTTACATCTCGTCCCCTAGTAATTTGTAAATTTGTTATATTCACCCCTCTATAAAAGGGTGATGTTGTAGAAAATTTACAAATTGCAGATGGTTTATTTAATTATGAAATAATAACGAATTTTTTCATAAATAAACTTTAACTCAGAAGGCGGTTATAATTTACCCAAATTTAAATGAATCACCAATCGCAATCAATCCAAAATTACAGATTCAACTTTACAACCACAATTTTGCGATGCATTGACTACTGAAAATACAATAATAAATTTCAAAATTTTATGCATAAATGTGTTTACACATACATAGACACATGTGCTATGTATTTGTATACGTATATCATAATTCGTGATTGAGTTGTATTGTGTGAATTAATTAATATGATCTGGCCACGTTACACTAGACAAGGACTTCAAGCAAGAATAACACATCACAACCACAATTATGCAATGTATAGTTGTCCCCTTAATTAGAATCCCATCATTCTTTTTAACTCCAATAATTAATTATAATAATATATATACTTTAAATTATTTAATTGTGATTTATATTTAGTTTAAACAACTATTTGTTAGTGGATTAAATCAATTAATTTTGTGATGAACATGGTGCATGGGAAATAATTGATTCATGCATGATTTGATATTGTTCTAGGATTCTCATATAATATGATTATATATCCAACCCACAAAAGGGCAATATAATAAAGATAGTGAAATAAGTGGGCCAAATTGCAAAAGTAAATGTTCTTTTCTGGGTGTGTTTTCATGTAACCTTGGTTGATTGGACCCCTTTTTGTCTCATCAATTTAGCCAACTTTTCAATTGATATTTTGTCCAATCAATGCATTATTGAGGGCAATTATATAATTTGGCGTTGTCCATAAACTCTCAACATACACAATTCCACTAATATTAGAAAAAAAATATATATACACAATTTTATTTTAAATTGGCCTTATTCATTTTTGAAAATATGAAGTGAAATATTATAATATAAACATTTTTTTTCTTAAACAATAGATAAATATAATTTTTTTTTTTCTTTTTTCCTATCTATGTCCAAATTTTTAGGGACACCTAATTTAGAACCAAAGGATGATTATTGATCAAAGGGTAAATTACGGGCCCCCCGAGATAATGACAATTACCAAAAAACTCCTCTTATTTGGGTAATTACGACTACCACTTAACTTTGAATCTTCTTATACCTTCGTTCTTACGGTGTCAAATTCAACATAATCTTCTAAATTTCGTGAAATGTTTTCTAGTTTGTTGTACTTGTTTTATGCAAAAATAACGATTTCTAAAGCACCACTGGTCTGATATTTAGAAACCAAGAGACACATCTTATGATCATTTTGTTTCAAAGTGTGGATTATGGTAGAAATGCAAGAAGATTTATAGTTGGAGGAGGGTTGTAATTACTAAAACAAGAAGGGGTTTTTTCGTAATTTGATATTAATCGAGGGAGGGATGAGTGTAATTTACCCTTTGATTAAAAAGTAGGGAAAAAAACCCACCAATGAGGTGAAGACAAAGTGACAAAGAGCATATCGCCATCTCTCATTTACTCCAAAAACACACACACACACACTCATGTGTTCTGCAAACCCCACAATACAAAACACAGCTTTTATTCACTCACTGGTATATCTTAATTTTTACTCCACAATCAAAATCCAATATACACCTCCACCACTCGTCAATGGCGATAAGACACTATTATTAGCTACGCTGTAAAAATATTAAATTTAAAAAAAAGAAAAGAAAAAAAAAGAAAATGGATTTGGAGAGACCCCATTTTCGCACTACAAGCACAGGCAGCAGCAGTAGCGCCACCACCACTACAACAACTGGCGAGCTCTTCATTTGTTTCACCTCTCGCCTCTCCGCCTCCTCCTCCTCCATGAAACTAACCAAATCTATTCTCAGCCCCGGCCGCGCCGCCCGCGACGGCGGCGGCGGTGGCCCCGTCTCCCTCTCTTCCTCACTCAGCCGCCGCCTCCGCACCAATGGCAGCCTCAAAGGCGGTGCGTCTCCCTTCTTCACCAGCAGCACCACCGGGAAGAAGAGGGGCTGCGCTTTCGAAAACCCGGAGCCGTCTTCCCCAAAAGTGACCTGCATCGGGCAGGTGCGTGTGAAGACCAAGAAGAAGGTGAAGCAAAGCCGGAGCCTTTCGAAGCGGCGGAGTGGGGAGGTCATGAGCTTCAGAAAGATTGAGCATGGTAACTCCGGCGACCGCGACCACCACCAAAGTCAGGAGCAGAGGTACTCGAACGCCAGTGGCGGCACACATTATCAACATCAGCAGCAGCAGCAGCAGCCGGAGTGCCTGCCACTGAGGAACCAGAGATGGGTTCATCTGCCAATCTCGATCTGCGAGGCTTTGAGCTGTTTGTTTCCGTGCAAGAGCTCCTGTTTTTCGACGGCCGGCGGCGAAGAGACGGAGAAGGCGGCGGCGGCGGCTCATGAGAAACACAATGATACTGCTGCTAGCGGAGACGAAAATGGATGCGGGGCGGTGTTCGCGAGGTGGCTGGTGTCGGTGAACGACGGGGAAGGAGGGAAGAGGAGGGAGATTGAGCTGGTGGTGGGCGGCGGAGACGAGGAAGAGAGGGTATCAATGAGGAGTTCAAGAAGACACGTGTTCGAGGATTTCGAGGTTAAGGATGATAGAATTGAAGTGAAGGGGCAGATTAATGAAGTTAAGGAAGAAGAAGAAGAAGGAGGGAGAGTGAGCATTTGCATACCACCGAAGAACGCTCTTTTGTTAATGAGGTGCAGATCCGATCCCATGAAAATGGCTGATCTCGCCACCCGCTTTAGCTGGGATGCCAAAACTAGTACTCATAATCACCATGATCAGGAGGATATTAAAGAAGAAGAAGAAGAAAATAACGAGGTTGTAGTAGTTTCTGAAGAAGAAGAATGTGATCAAGGTAATACAAATGAAGTCTTTGAGCAACAAGAAGAGGAGGTTTCAATGGAACAAGTAGCGGCGGAAGACATTGTTAATGGGGATGAAGAATTAGTGATTATTAGCAGTATTGATCAGAAAATGATTGATGATGAAGAAGAAGAAAAGGAGATAGAGGAGTTGCAGCAAGAGATTCTGGGGAATCTTCAAATGTTTTCTCAAGAAGAAGAAGAAGAAGAAGAAGAAGAAGTTGAGTCGAATATGTCTTCCTTTGAACATCTTTTAGACCAAGAAAATGCAGACCACTATCAAGAAAGTAATTGTCCAATCGGCCAACACGAAGAAGAAGAAGAGGTGCATGATCATAACTGCCATTTATCATCTCCATCGACTACAGAATCAGATGAAGAAATTAATGTTGTTGTTCAAAGTAATGAAGAAGCTGAAGAATCGATGAATATCTCAGATAAAGTTTCAATCTTGGAAATTATTAATGATGGTCAAGAACACCAGATCGAACTCGAGCCTGCACAAATAACAACTCACAGTACTGAAAATGGAGTACAAGAACAAGATGAAGAGGAAGAAGACGAAGAAGAGCAGAAAACTGTATTGCTACAGAAAGAATCGGAAATGGTGGAAAACCGGGAAATTGATGAACCGGTGAGTAAGATTGAAGAAGAAGAAGAACCGAATAAGAAAGTACTGCCGGAATGCTTGCTGTTAATGATGTGCGAGCCCAAGTTATCAATGGAGGTTTCCAAGGAAACATGGGTTTGCAGCACCGACTTCGTCAGGTGGCTGCCGGAGAGGCCGCGGAAGCCTGCTAAGTCCGCCAAATCCGGCGGCGGTTGCGACCACGCGCCGCCGCCCAAGAGGAGGCTCAGCATTGACTCGAAGCTGAAGCCCGTCCCCGCCCACGCGCCTCCGTCGGTGGCGGAGGATGGTTATCGTTACCAGCATTATCAGCCGCCGCGGTCGTCGTGCTCTCTGCCGGCTGCTGCTGCAGCGGCGTCGATGGCAACCATGATAGAGCAGAAGCTGGTTAATGCGGTGGGGTACGAGCCGTTTGTGCTGACCAGGTGCAAGTCCGAGCCGATGAGGTCGGCGGCGGCTAAGCTTATTCCTGAGTCGTGCTTCTGGAAAAACGCTGTTACTAAGCTGGAGCCGCACGGGCGGGCTGCGCTCGGCGTCGGCGCGGCTGGAGTCGGATTCTGAGCTGGCCCGGCGATTAGGATGCTGAGCTGGCAAAATATAATAATGAAGGGGAATCTTTAAGGGTTTAGAGCTGTCTGTAAATTTTTATTTATTTTTATTTAAATCTTTTGGTAATACTCTTTTTTTATTATTATTTTTTTTTTTAGAATTTGATAGTCTTTTTTAATTTCGTGTAATAGATGGAGGTTAATCTAGTAGTATTAGTTTGCATCTCTTGTGTACTATAATTACTTCATATATGTCTAAATCTTAATTTCATTATCTTTAATTAATGAGTCTCTGTATAAATTGATGACTAGCAAAGTACTTTAAATGCTGTCTTGAATAAGGGAAGACCTCAAGACCAAGTAGTTACATACTTACATTACATGCTAACATAATAAACAAGAAAATAAGAATAAAATATGTCTATGTGACAATGCATATAATTTAGGATATAGTGCTAGAAAAAAGAATTTATTAAATTTTGGTTCAATATTTAAGCGGATTAGATTTATTTTCTTCAAATTATTTTTGGTGAATACAAAATTATTATAAAATCTAAACTGTGAAAAACGAAGAGGTGAATAATCATAATAATATCGCGAAAACAAATTATTGTACCTAAGAGAACAATGTAAAATCTTAAGCATCAGTGCGCGCGCGCGAGACAATATTTGTCTTATGTAAAGAGCCCCAAATTTTATTTTTGACCATTTTACTAAAATCACCGTCAGTTATTATACACTTAAAATAACACATTGCATTCTATAATTGCGCATTTTAAGTATAATACAATGTATATAATAATTAGCCTAAATACTTATGTAGATCAAGCTAGCCACGTGCCTCCATTATTTAATAGTAATCTAATAAAAATTCGACACTAAGCACATGAAAATTGAAATAATTAGCTCATGACTCCATGCATTTGTAATGTTCTTTTGAACTTTGAAGTGCGTGTTGTGTGTGTTTGTGTTTGTGTTTGTGAAGGGACAATGCTTACCGGGACAGGCTGGTTTTTTTTAGTACACAAATTTGTTGTATTTATTTGTCTATTATTATAGTATAGTATATATTGAATTAAATTAAAAAATTGTCACACACATGTGATCAAAGTTCAACGTTGGAAAAACAAATACTCTACTTTGGTGAATTAAATAATGATTTAAAGAAAAAAAGGGATAATATGCAGTCAGTCAAATGGGAGGAGTGGGGGTGAAAAGGCTGCCCCCTTCCCAAAACTCAATGCATTGCCCACTTATTTAATATCATCCATCATCATAATATTGTTGCAGGCCTACTCGGAGAAATTGCAGCAATACCTAGTTTTTATTTTAATATATAATATATAGTCTAATTTACAATATATTCATCATCATCCTATATATTATATATACTATGTACATTTATGACCTACCCATATGTAGTTGCTTAATTTTGTGGGGATGGATTGTAGCCGGAGTAGAGTTTATTTGAAGATACCTCGTTTGATTATTAACTGTTGATCTGTTGATTATTAACTGTTGATTTGCAAATAATTTAATACATGGTTGGTTATTTAATCCCGCCAATAATTAAAACCATCACAATATATATGGCCATATGTAGCATTTCAATGACCTTCAGAGTGGTTCATGTAGTTATTTTAATTTGATAATTGAGTTCATTTTGAATACGTAAGTTTTAGTTGATAATCGACCATCAACTCATTTGTTAAACTCGGACCGATAGTTTCAGTTCATTCATGAATGGTTGGAATATCGATTTGTAAATGTAGTATTGAAAAATAAAAATTGACCGATAAACGACTCTTTTTGCCATAGACGACACCGATGACCGAGCTTTGTTTGTAGGTTTTGACGAAGTAAGCGCGATATCCACTGGCGGAGCTTCTAAGGGGCTGTTGCCCCCCCAAGGAAATTTTTTTTTTTTTTAGCTATTTTGACCTAATATTTTTTGAATATTACTTTTGACCCCCCAAAGATTTTGTAAATATGTTTCTTAACCCTTACTTTTTTGTTTATTCTCCATAATTTTATATAAATTATAGATATATATTATATTATAGATATGTGTCGTAATTTTTTTCGCAGTATAAACCTATTTTTTCAATGTCTTGTGAATCTAAAAAATTTTTCGGGCCGCTGCCCCGAACCCCGAAATTTTAGTTAGCCCCCCCTACTTTCTAATCCTGGTTCCGCCCCTGGCGATATCTCCACACGTCAGCTTGAGATGCTGCCGGAATCATGATCGGCCTTCGTTCCTGCAGTACCAGGACGGATTTCTCGACGTATAAACTCCGACAATCAAGTCAGAAAAGATATTTTGTGTATATGTTATGTATTTTTTGAAAAGAGCATTCAAGAGTAAAAGTTTGGGTGAACCCATATTAATATATATCTCATTTCTTAAAGTGCTAACTTAATTTAGGGTTTTAAACCTAATCACCTTCTTATTTGAGTCGGTAGTATCTAACGGACTTTTAGGTTAATTTGGAGTGTAAAAATCATCCGTTCGCATAAAACTCCGACTCAAGGCCATAGCACCCCATCTTATCTCGTCTCGGCACCTAGGTTAAATAGCATGTTTCCTATTTTTAAGGTTCCATGTACCATTTACGGGGTCGGGCCTCAATCGGGCGCCGTTTTGCTTTGGGCTTTATCGTCCTCTCTCTTTATTTATGTGAACAAGGCCCGTGTGGGCGAAGTAGCCCATATCATTATCCAAACAAACTCAAAGAAATTTCTATTATAAATTTGAAATTAATACTCAAGTTTTCATGCTTGCATATTTGTCTTTTCCTGGGATCCCTCTCTCTCATTTCCTTTTCAAAGATACAGCCTAAAGATGCGTACGAATCAAATAAAAAAAAAGAAACAAAGAGGGGGTCAAATTTGAATATAGAACATGGAAAACAACGATATTAAAACATTAAATACAGTTTAATCAGCTGGAAAACACGACTAATCATATTTTAATACACACCCATCTCTCCATTAACATTCAATTAATATTAACATTTTTATTAAATTACTACATTAGGATTATCAACCCACCAGGACAACCACAACAAACCAATGGTCAACCAAACCAAATCAAACTCTAAAGTGAACAACTATCCTTAAACATTTGTACACATAGCAAAATTCATTGAGAGCTCATTCAAAAGCCACTACAGAAAAAAAAAAACCTAGGATTAAAATCAAATGAGGCCATGGGAGAAAGATTACCTCGACGTTATTCTAGTCCCGTCGGGCTTACTTCTCATGCTCGGTTATCATCTCATCCTCGTCTACAGATATCTCAAGTGCCCTCAATACACCGTCATCGGTTACGAGAATCACAACAAGCGAGCATGGGTCAGAAGAATGCTTCAGGTCATCCACTAAAACAAAAAGAAAAAATCAATTAAACAAAGGGACCGTTTTTTCGATACTAAAAAATTTACCTTTTTGTTTTTTTCGATTTTTTACAGGTGGAAATGAAGGACAGGGGGCCGGCAATATCCGTGATCAGCAGCAACATAACTGCAGCCACAGCACTTTCGACGATTTCCCTAGTTTTGAGTTCCGTGATAGGGGCTTGGATCGGAAGTTCATCGATGGCTAATATTTTCACGGGGAGATATATATACGGTAATAGAAGCCAGTCGATTGTGTACGTAAAGTACGTGTCTCTTCTTTCTTGCTTCTTGGTGGCTTTCGTATGTTTCGTTCAGACAGCTAGGTATTTTGTTCATGCTAATTTTCTGATAAGTATGCCGAATAACGATATACCCGTGGGGTGCGTGGTGAAGGAGGTGATCAGAGGGAGTCATTTCTGGCTTGTGGGACTTAGATCGCTCTTCTTCGCAACGAGTATGCTGCTGTGGATATTCGGACCCATTCCCATGTTTCTTTGCTCGGTGATTATGGTTCTATTGTTGATGAATTTCGACAGGAATACGACCCCACTTCATCAGTATAAATAAGCATTGAATCTTGTGCAGGATTGATTACTTTGTTGTTGAAGGGTTTATTGTAAAGTTTTTAATCATTTTGGCAGCATTGCTGAATTAATTAAAAGATTAATCGCAAGATATTCATTGACTTTTACGTGTTCGTTTCTTGGATCTTTGCACGACACAACAATTAACTCGTTCGGGCAATCTCGTTTTCTTGATGGTGTTTTTTGTAAAATAGTTCAACTTACGGAATTATTCACTGACGGTAAATTGATCGATCAAATTTATGAAATCGTAACGAATTGGGTAAAGTAAAGGATGGGAGAATTCGAATGAAAATTCAGCAAATTGCAGGTTTAAAATTTCAAATGGAAGGTTAATAGGAGACATGTTGTAATAATTGAAGTAGTTGTTAGGCAATAATACCCCCCCATATGAAGTCTCAGAATAGCCAATGTCAACGGTCTCACTATCATGGAATTACTAATATGTGTGTGTGTGTGTGTGAGAGAGAGAGAGAGAGAGAGAGAGAGAGAGAGAGAGAGAGAGAGAGAGAGAGAGAGAGAGAGAGAGAGAGAGAGAGAGAGAGAGAGAGCAACTAGTTATCTTTTTTAAACCCCTCTCTCCAATTCCAGATCCTCCCATCTAACATGTTTAAAAACTAATCATTTACCACTAATTAAAATAAATAAAACAATTAACCAAAGGGCAATTACCCTACCAAAAACCCTTTCCGAAAACGACATACATGAATAGATTATATATATGCATGGCCGACGACCGGAAAGAATATTAGATAATGCAAGCTAACTTTAGCTGACCAGACCTAACCCCAATATAATCAATCAAATAATAATCATTTAAATAAAATTAATGACCCACCACCATAAATATCTCTCAATTATCTAATAATTCTTGATCCACAACCACATCACAAAGAATTGGCAGCACATTTTCCATCAAGAAAAAAGAAATGGGGGTAACATGGAAGGAAGAACACCTAGATTTTGTTCTAGTCCCGAGCGGTCTACTTATCATGCTCGGTTACCATCTCCTACATCTACACAGATGCATCAACCGTGCGGAATCCACGGTCATCGGTTACGAGAATTACAACAGAAGGGCTTGGGTAACAAGAATCTTGCAGGTCAGGATCTATCTTTTTCTACCTCTACATTTTACTCGTGTTAGCTATCTATATATATATTGAATTCAGAAATAAAAGAAAAACTTTACTTAATTCAACAGCTAGAACCTAAAGAGAGAGGGCAAGCAATTACCGTGATCGGGGGCAATATATCAGCAGCAACTTCATTTGCGTCGGTCTCTCTTACTCTGAGCTCTTTGATCGGAGCGTGGATCGGAAACGCGTACCACAACGAATCCATCTCCACCAGAATATACGGAAACACGAGCCCCACGATAATATACCTCAAATACGTATCTCTTCTGTCTTGCTTCATGATCGCATTCGCTTGCTTCGTTCAGGCAGCAAGGAGTTTGGTGCACGCCAATTTCCTAATCAGCATGCCGAACTGCGAGATGCCTGTGAGCAACGTCGAGAGCGCTGTAATAAGAGGGAGTAATTTCTGGGTGATCGGTCTCAGATCGCTCTATTTCTTTTTTTTCACCAGTTTTTTT